GAAGATCAATCATTATCCTTATAATGATTAAGTCTCTTATTTGGAATACTAGGGGCATCACGCCACAAGGTGCCTTTGACAGACTCAAGCAACTCAAAAGATCACACAATCTATTGTTCATTGCCATCATGGAACCTTTCTGTAACAGTTCCAAACTTGAGAAGTTTAGGAGAGGACTGTGATTTGACTTTGCATTTGCCAACTGCAGTAATAAAATTTAGTTTTTTGGTGATAATGTTGTTAATTGTACAGTTTTTGATGATATGCCTTAATATATTAATTATTCAATCAACAACAACGGGGTAACATTATTCATCACTTTGGTATATGCCAACTGTAAGGCTCATCTCAGGGAATCACTGTGGAATANGGGTTAGAATTCATAGTATGTCTAAAAGACTTTCTTTCATTAATTGTATAGTAGGCAGTGGTTTGATGGACCTTGGCTACTCTGGTAACCCCTTCACCTGGTGTAATAGGTGGGCACCTAGTAAGAGGATATGGCAAGATTGAATAGGGAATTAGTAAACTCTGAATGGTTGCAAAGCTTTTCTGATACTTCAGTTGTTCATTTGGTCAGAACTGGCTCTGATCATGCCCCACTACTTATTTCTACAGCCAACACTCAATGGGAGCCTAAGAAATATTTCAAATTCTTAGATTTTTGGACTGAACAAGATGACTTCTTAAAAGTCGTTGAACAAGCTTGGCAGATACAGGTTGAAGGAGGTCCTATGTGGAAATTTCATCTCAAACTTAAGAATGTTTGTAAGAGTCTCTCTTCCTAGTCTAGAAACACTATTGGAAATATTTTTGACAAAATCAAGGAACTACAAAATAGACTTGCAGAGCTTGAGGATAGATGTTTGAATGACAACTCAGAGTGTAATAGGATGGAGTACAACAATGTGAATGCTCAGCTTATCAGTCACATTAAAAATGAAGAATTCTTTGGAGGCAAAAAGCTGGATTGAAGTGGTATTCAGAGGGGGATAATAACACAAGGTTCTTTCATTCTGTTATCAACTCCAGAAGGAAAAAGCTAAAGTTAACAAGAATTAAAAAACAGGATGGCACATGGATTGAAAATAAGGATGACATAGTTACTAAAGCTGTTGCCTTTTTTGAACAACAATTTACACAAGAGACTACATGTAGAGATTTTTCTATGCTCAGGAAGTTTCCCAGAGTGATAGGTGAAGATGATAACCTAGCATTGGAGGCCATTCCAACTATGAATGAAGTGAAATATGTGGTCTTCTCTATGAGTAGTAGTAGTTCACCTGGTCCGGATAGCTTATCTGGGAAAGTTTTTCAACACTGCTGGGATATTATTGCTGAGGATCTTTATGATGTTATACTGGATTTCGTTTTTGGTAGTGAACTCCCAAGATCTTTCACTCACACATGCCTAGTCCTTATCCCTAAAATTGATAACCCCCAACAATACACTGATTTTAGGCCCATTAGCTTAAGCAATTTCACTTCCAAGATCATATCCAAGCTGATGAATACTAGACTATCCCCTTTGATGAATAAGATCATCTCCCCTAACCAAACGGGCTTCATAAAAGGGAGATCGATCTCTGACAATGCAATGCTCACACAGGAATTGGTTTACAATTTAAAAAGGCCAAATATCAACGGGAATGTAGTGTTCAAATTGGACATGGCCAAAGCTTTTGATAGGGTTGCTTGGGACTACCTTTGCCAGACTTTGAGACAATTGGGATTCTCTGAATTTTGGATTGACATGGTTGCCAGGTTGGTCTCTAACAACTGGTATTCCATTAATATCAATGGATTTAGGCATGGATTTTTCAAATTCTCAAGAGGTCTCAAATAAGGTGACCCACTATCTCCCTCACTATTTGTTATTGGAGCTGAGCTATTATCTAATGAATCTATTGAAGAATGAGAATTTCATCCCCTTTTCCGTGGACCATGGCAGTCCTTTGATCACTCATCTTACGTATGCCGCTGACACTATACTCTTTTTCTCTAGGGACCTCCTATCCATTTTCATGATGATAATGAAGCTAGAAAATTATGAGCAAGTCTCGGGCCAAATGGTGAATAAAAGGAAATCTTCTTTTCTGGTATCTCCCTCTACTCCTATTTCTATCATAGAGGATATCAAATGCATAACTGGTTTTTCTCATTCCCCTTTCCCTTTTACTTATCTGGGGTGCCCTATTTACTTTGGAAGAATTTTTTTTTGTTATTTTAGAAATATGGTGGCCAAAATAGCAAATAGAACTCAGGGGTGGAAAGGAAAACTTCTTTCTGTTGGGGGTCGAGCGGTCCTTATCAGGTATGTACTGCATTCACTATCATTGCATATCATATCTGTTATGCATCCACCAAAAACTACCCTTGGACATATTGAAAAATCTCTTGCTAATTATTTTTGGGCATCTTTAGAAAGCAAGAGAACTTATCACTGGTTTTCATGGAAGAATTTCTGTTACCCTAAGGCAGAGGGAGGGGTAGGATTTAGGTCATTGCATGACATGTGCATTTCATTTGCTGCTAAAACTTGGTGGAATTTCAGAACTCATAAGTCCCTTCTCACTCTCTTTTTGGAAGCCAAGTATGGTAAAAGAAGTCATCCAGTTTCTAAAAAGAAGAACTATTCTCAATCTCACTCTTGGAGAAGGCTAATGAGTATCAGAAAAGATTATGAAAAGTATATCTTATGAAAAGTGGGGAAGGGCAACATCTCTTTTTGGTGGAACAACTAGACAAACAAAGGTGCATTAGCCAAAGTAATTGGACAAGGCAACAAATCTAAGAAGATTAGAGTGTCCGATTTTATCTCAAGCAATCGATGGAATCTGGAAAAGCTCCATGATGCTCTTCCTCCTAATTTGGTATCTCATATCGAGTCTATCCGTATTACTTCGGGAGAGAAGGATCAATCTATTTGGCTTGCGAATCACAATGGATCCTTTTCAAGCAAATCGGCCTGGAAGGCTCTTAGGAAATCTAAAGGTTCCTCACTCACCCTCTCTAAGATTTGGTATAGTAAGTTACCATTCAAAGTCTCTTTCCATACATTGCGGTTATTGAATGGTAAATTAGCCACTGATGATTCTTTGGTTAAATTTGGTGTGCATGGCCCTTCAAAATGCTATTGTTGTCCTAATGGTACCTCTGAGTCTATTAAGCATCTATTTTGTGCAAGTGTGGTTGCTGGAAAAGTTTGAAAATATTTTCAAGATACATGTGGTTTGAGAATGCAATCTACAGGTGGCATAAGAGCCAAATTTATTAGATGGTGGATTGTTCAACCTCAAAATAAAGTTCATAAGTTGATATTGCAATGTCTTCCATATGTTATATGTTGGGAAATTTGAAATTATTGACGTAATTTTAAATATGAGGGAGTTAGAAATACTACTAGCAGTATCATTGCAAAAATTACATACCTGATGCGACTGCTTCTTTCGGCTCAATTCCCTTCTTTATCCTTCACCTTTCCCTTTCCAAGAATTACCCAAATGGTTGATAGGATTAAGCCCAAGCTGAGCATTATTCCAGTGATATGGAATAATTCTGCTTTCGGTGAGTTCAAATTAAATGTAAATGGGTGCAGCAAAGGAAATCCTGGGAGCGCAGGGGGTGGTGGGATTTTAAGAGATCACCTTGGACATATGGTCATGGCTTTCACTATGTATCTTGGGTGTTGCTCCAATAATTCAGTTGAGGTGCAGGCTATTAAAACTGGAATGAGGTGGTGTTTAGACACGACTTTAACAGATTAACTATTGAATCAGATTCTTTACTTGTTCTTCAAATGATAAAGGAAGAAATCTCCACGGCATGGCAAATCAGAGAAGAAGTCAAAGAGATTCAAGCAATGGACACAGAATGACAGTTTCAATTCACTCACACCTTCAGGGAAGGTAACATTCTAGCTGATCTTCTAACAAATTTAGCAGAAAGAGATAGAAATAATCAGTTCTTCATTGGGGCTATGAACATGCCAAGGCAGATTACATCCTCGGTGAAAAATGATGAGCTAAGAAGACCAAGTTTTAGAATTAAGGTGAGGAAGAACACCTTCATCTTTGATCCAGGTTGAATGTGATATTTGTGCTAAGTTTCATACTCATCGTTTATTTGCCCAAATGTTTTTTTTTTAAAAAAAAGGAGAGTCTATGTAAATGAAAGGGGTCGTTTGATTTGAAGACAAGTTATATTGGGATTAATTATATTGAAATTAGTTGTGCTGGGATTAATTATTCTGGTATTATTCTTATTGACTGTTTGGTATGTTGTATTAACCATGTGATTGTCAATTTTACTATTTATCCTAGGATAACTTATCCTTGGATTACTATTCCACCCTCAGGCAGGTATAAGTTATCCCGCTACTATTTTTAACCCTGTGATAACTTATCCCAGAATTAGTAACCAAACAAGGGATAAGGCGGTACTAATTTTTATCCAGGATTAATTTTACTGTAACCATCATATTATCTACCTTTTAAATTTTACAAGAAAATACACGTGACTTCACACCATAACAAAAGGTGGTGTTAAACATGAAAGTATTTGTCTGAAATATCCTTTTATCTCTCTTTATTAGTGATTTACTTCTTTAGTACTTCACTAGTCTGAGCAGCGTTGAGATTGAATTTGAAAAAAAAATGCATTTTGTTTTGCTAAAAATCAGATATTTTAAAGTAAATTCAGTTTACTAAAGCGATTAATATTTGAAATTGGATGGACTTAAAAATTATTGAAGTGGAAAGGAGTTGGCGTAGATTTATTATGGCCAAATTTTGGGTTTACATGAGCAAGAATTGGTTCTAATAACAGATTAAATTTGGGAAGCCTCTCGTTGCTGGATGATCTCCTTATCTCTAAGCACGTCTCTACATGAGCTTCCAGTGCAGTATACTGCCCACATCTTTTACCTACCAAAGCCCACCACAAACATAACAACATATTTATAGATGGTACAACTTTTGAAACCAAAAGTACTACTACTATTTCACAATAAAAGGAAGAATGACTCCCATTTTATTTATTCAGAAATATAAGAACCGGTGCTCTTTAATATTGGTTGATACATACAACAACATACAGTTCGATTTGGGAAATTACATAAAAGCAAAAGTGTTAGGGAAAAAACCACTTAAAACGGTGGTTAAGTTCATACGGAAAGAGAAGGAGAAAGACCGAACTCAAGTCCCCACAGCTCAAATCCTCCATTCACGAAATCATAGTGACCTCCCTTCAATGCTAGTGTTTTCTTCACCAAACCTTCTCTCACAAATGGATAGGTCAGCAAATTTCCAAGTGACACATTCACAGCTTCCTGCAAATTTTTTAAAATTTCATTTTCATAGTCAGTTATAAACTGGCTAACAAATATTCGAAAAGTAAAAACAAGCGCAACCCGGTACACAAATCATCTAGCGTTCACGCAGGGTTTGGGGAAGGGTCGCACCCGAAGGGTGTAATGTAGACAGTAGAGGCAGAGTCAGAATTTGAAGTTTATGGGTTCGAAAATCTAATTTGTTTAAGTTACTGGATTTTAAATTAATAAATTATACATATTCGATGAATTTCTTAAAACAAATACATAGTTTGGACAAAATCTACTAAGTTCGGCCAAATCCGTAGATCGTATTCTAACTCCGCTCCTGATAGACGGTGTACCCTAATGGCTGCTTTCGTGACTCTACACACAACCTACTCCAAAAGTATCCCAAATTNTATATATATATATATATATATACTTGTAGAAAAAGATTAAAGGTACGTACGTTGATTCAGAACCATCTGCAGGTAAAGACATGAGACCTTTGATACCTCCACATGCGCTATGGCCAATGACAACAATGTTCTCTACCTTAAGGTGAAGAACAGCGTATTCGATAGCTGCTCCGACTCCGGAGTATCTGGTCTGTTTAATTGATCATAACACAAGAGTATTCAATCCCGAATTCAAAATCTCAATTCCAACTAGTTTGGATTGAAACGTGATTGATTAATTGATCAATTGATGAGATAAAAAAAAAATTAATAGTTAGAGATGTAAATAATTGACCTTGTCATAAGCAGGGACCATGTTGGCGATGTTTCGGACCACGAAAGCCTCACCAGGTTGGAAGTTCAGGACATGTGATGGGCACACTCGAGAGTCAGAGCAGGCAAAGACCATGAACTGTTTACAAAATTATGGAAATAGCATCATCAGCTACAAAAGATGGGGGAGGAATCATTTATTTATTGACAATAAATTGATAAGTAGCAGGAATTTGTACCTTGGGGCTCTGGCCTTTTGATAGTTCCCCATATAAGGCTGGGTTCTTCCTGATAGTACATAAAGAAGAAGAGAAAATGAATTATCAGGCACTAATGTTCCAAAATTATTTCGTTCCTGAAGTAGTAGTTGCAGATGTGCTAAGTTAAAACGGTCCAAAATACTCTTTAACATAGTGAAAATATCCATTTTGGATCAAGTTTGTACGGTTTTTTCCAAAAGGTTTCACACTATTAAGAGATCTCTACGCTTTATATGTAAGTACCCAATGTGGAGTTTTGTTCAAACACACTCAACACATTATGCAGCAGTTTTAATTTGAAGAAAGTGAATTTGCTTACTCGTATTTCTCAGTTTTGAAGTGAATAAAGCCAGCTTTCATGTGCTCAACAGGGTCGAATGGTTTGCTGCCATCTGATGATTGCAATTCAGCTGTAATCTGGTCAACTCTTGCTGCAGCAATTGGTCCAAGTTCTCCTTTTTCGCTGTAATTGCATAATTTCAAATATTCAAGGACCTTTTTTTTGTTTATTAAAGCGACATTTATGATTCTTGTGTTTTTCTAAATACAAAAAAAGGGAAAGAGGATGTTATGCCACTACTGATGAGGTTTGAATACATTACGCTCACATATCAGATTCCCTGTTTTGATTTTCTTTTTTAACCCCCTCCCAAACTATGACGATCTATAGTGTTTTCACAATTTCTCTCCAGGGTGACTCGAGCCATGACCTAACGGTCGTGGGTGAAGGTTTTTTACCAACTGAGCAAGCCTCACTAGTCGATACTCTGATTTGATGATTGATTAATTGATGCAGATTTGGATCACATGACATAATGAGAAGTTAACATGCACACCATCAGTTTTGCCTGATTATATCTTGATCACATTTTGCAAATATTTAATTTGATATAGATATACATATATATGCACACACGTATTATAAGATTATAAAGGATAAATTACAAACCTGAGGAGTTTCTCGAGTGCAGCAATGGCCTGCTCATAGGATTCCTTTGCCATTTCTTCTCTCTGCAAGTCCCCATTTCCATCAGAATTTGGAAAATACAAAACCACTTTTATCTTTTTACTAATGTCTGGAAGGTATAACAAGTGAACATCAAAACAGAGGGGTAAGGCAACCTAAATTACTCTGTTTAATAATAAAAAATTAGTAAGTGATGTAGATATCAGAAATGGCAACGGAGTGGTACTTTACGCTTGTTAAAATGCACTCACAGCGAATCCCAAACAGCAAACCGAGCTTGGTGAAGATGTGAAATAGTAACAGGATAAATCAAGAAGATGGGTTTTCTTCGATTAGATTTTAAAATCGAAAAAACCCAACATATGTCAAACAAGAAAGACAAAAAAAAAAACGCTATAGAGCAACTAAGACGACAAGAAATACGTTACAAATGGACATCGTCCTACAAATTCTGTGGTAGTTATTACTCGTAGGATAGGCCAACTTACGAGGTTACCCACTGAATTACTGAATTTGTCTAATAATTAGCCAAAAGAAATTTAGAAATCTTTTATAATAAAAAGAGAGAGTAAAAGCATTGTCCACATAATCCACAAAATAACCCTACTTATCATTTTTGCGAGAACCTCTATGTGATTGCCACCTCTTCTTTTTTTGGGGTTCATTTTCAAGATTGTTATAGTGCCATGGACTGCACGTAAATATAACAATGGAGGTGTATACTTGATCAAAATGACAGCACTTCACCTAACTTCAGGAGATTCATGGCAAAAAATAACTACTCCTACGACTTATAATTTAATGTAATGCGAATCACGTGAACTAACGTGCATGGAGATTTATGGTCATTACAAAGAGATAAACTACTTGCTAGCTAAAATGAAACAACGTATTGGTTGAATTTAGTTGGAAAAAAAAAGAATCCAATCAGAAAAAAAGGAATACCAAGATAGAGTAATTAAATGACTTGTCGTAACATGTTAAAATACACTGATGGTGTAAAAAAAATCTTTATAATGTCAGTGTATATAATTTAAATCCGTACCAAAATAGGGTTGATGATGGGAGTAGGGGCGGCGAAGACGGGCTCGTTTCTGATGAGACTGGGAACAGAAGTAGAAGAAGAAGAGTTGCTAAGCCTTGCAAAAGCAACAGGACGAGTTGGTTTCTTAAGGGAAGCTTGAGCAGGGGAGATAGTAAGGCAACTGTTAATGGAAGCAGTTGACATTTGGCTCAAGAACTTCCTTTTAGCTTTTGCTTGCTTTTATTACTCCTCACTCACTAGTATATATTATATAGTTGTGGAATGGGTCTTGATCATGGGTCGGGTCTCTTACATATAACAGTATTATAACAGAGTTGAAAGTGATTGCTAAGCAAATGAGAGCTTCAATCCATTGTAGATGAGGTTTGTACGTTGGAGATTGAATGTTGCAGTACTTTTGCCTGGAACTAAAAGCATATGGCTAAGAAGCCAAGAACCTAAGATTTTTTTTTATTTGAATTAAAGGAGAGAATAATTAAATACGAGTGATCGTTATGGTTGAATATGGGGCATGTTGTTTTTTCTTGTGGGGCAGTTATTTAATCCTCAATATCAAGTTCCACCTATATTTGCATTCTTTTTTAGGTTGTCGTATGGTTTGTTGTGTCATTTTCATGGTTTGGACTATACATGCAATGGCTATTCGCCTCGCCAAATTAAACCTAATGATCTTCTATTAATCGCCATAATCTCAATTAGCTTGTTTGTGGGCTATGTTGAAACCATGGAATCATAGTCTTTTGTTCGTGTTATTGCACATTTGCAGTTTCACTTCCGGAGTGATCAGAACTAATTTACTTAATTCCAAATCAACTCAACAATTATTGCTGATCACAGATGTACATGTGACGTAGAGAGTTTAATTGAATTCCGTTCGTTGAAAATTTAGACTGCCTGAATAGTGTAAAAATATTTTTTTTCCCTGTAGTGACAAAGTCGGTTAAAAAATTGCTTTTGTTAACATGTTGAATCCGAAGTATTGGATTCTTCCTTTTCATCTAACCCCTTTAGTTTGTAAAGATTTCTTACTCCACTTTTGGCTCCTCTTATCTTTAGTGAGAATAAGGAGATCAATCTGCGTCGAGTTTTGGCTAGTAAAAATCCAATGCAAGTATTAGAATAAACGTAATAGAATTAGAAGGATTAAAATCTCTAGTACGCGTGAGTTAAGCATGCACGGAACATATAATTAATATCGTGTTTTTGGATTTTAGTAAATTTAAATTCCTTCAATTGCCTTTAGAGCTTCACTTATCTTCAACTAAATCAATTAACCTTTTTTTTTTCATGTCATGTGTTCGATAAAGGTCAAATATCCCTTATCAGATCACTGCTCGCCACATCCCACAAATAAAAGAGGTAACTAACGTGACATGTGTCAGCAGCTGCTGAAGTTATACTTAAACGAACTGCAAATTCAAATTAAAAAATCTGGATATACATAAAGAAAATGAATGGAGCAAGGTAAATGAAAGGCAAACGAAAAAGGTAGTGGATGAGAAGAGATAAGGTCCTATCTTAAATCAATTGCACCAGTGGCTATAAGTCAACAACTTCACGCCCCATACCACAATCTTACAAATTTTATCTGCCTCAATTTTGCATTTTCAGTTTGGTAGAAATTTTTAGTTATTGCTATTATTGAATTCTGGCCGTATGTGTATCTGCAACAGTATGATCAGTGACATTGTGGAAATACTTACACATTCACAATAATTTGGCAGGGTCCAACAAGTTACTCAAACTTTTCTTCAGTTATCAATTCATGTCTACTCTAAACACTTACACATTGACAACCAAAAGAATAATTCACCAAAGAAATTCCAAATGAATTTGTTGCACAAGCATCAACTTTATTAGATTTTCCATACTGCTCGTGTGTGTCACTTTATATTTACAATAAAGAGATGATATTTCTCACCTTTGCATAATTAATGTTGTCGACAGTCACCATTGCACATTGCCTTATACCTGTTTCTTTCCCAAAAGCTCCTGCTCCTTTTAGATGATTTAGAACTTTTTTAACTAAGTAGTGCGTAGACTGATTTTCCGGCACCTCGACTATTTCACTGGATAGGTATTACTTCTCACCAGCATAAGTACCGAGTTTGTGCACCAAGACTTAGGTATATGAAAAAAGATAGCCTATCTGATAGTTTAGTGCTTACCATGTCGATGTACTCTTACATATATACTTCTATTAGCAGATTGCAATTAGTCAATTGCAAGACTAATTGACCTATGCTTTCTCCGGCACACTAGAGCTACATTGCTCAGATTTTCCGAAAATGTCTCTAGATGTGTGTCAGATTCTCCAAAAGTAATATATTTTTAGAGGATCTGACATGAATACAACAGCATTTCGGAAAGTCCGTGCAATATAGCACATGAGGCAATGATCTTACAGGAGTTCACAAAATGGAGCTTATATATCTACTATCCAATGTCTTCCTTGAGATTGTATGGAAATTAAAGTGGAGAGAGAGTCATCTCATTTTAGGCAATGGATGCTAGAAATAAATTATATATGCTCTCTTTCAATCCATGCAAAAGTTCCTTATGCCTCTTTAAGAAATTTGAGAATGTCTATATCACTAGTCATGGTTTCGACATATTAAGCACATTAAACGGTGACGACATGAAGTGACTTGTAGTGAAATGAAATGCTATAGATATGTCAGATTTACAAAAATGGAAAAGTTTGTTGAATTTTCTGACTTAGAAGCTGAGAGAATGTTGTCATACTATTGCCATTTCATCCAAGTGGAATGAAATTTGCAAAGGACAAAAATGTTCTAAACTTAAGTCGCTTTCTTATCATCTCTGGATGTATTGATTTTGAATAAAGAATTTTGTTCAAATTATTAATTAACAAATTAAAGAGGAAACAAATTAAAGTTTTAACCTTTATAATCTATAACTAGTTTCTCGGCACGTGCGTTGCACGTGTATATCGATCATGTTATTTCACTTGTACAATAATTTTAATTTTGAGTAAATAATTATACATGAAAGTATAAGAATAAGTTTCTCTAAATGATTGATATGAATCATCATATAGTCACTTATTTGTCCAGAGATGATTTGATGTTGTTTTAACTACAAAGATGAATTATAAAATTTTATTAGATACATGAGATGTCATTAATAAAGGCAATATAAATAACTAAAGAATATAATATAATATAAATTAAAAAGGTATTACCTTTTCGTCGTCTAATATGATAGGCCTAAAACTCTTTCGTATTTTGGATTTTTCTATGGTCTTATTACCCTCTTAGACTTGCTAACGCTTATGATCAGTATTTTTGTGTCCTGCTATAAAGTACATATGATTTCACTAATTCTATTTCGGTTATTGACCATTTTGATCGATTGAACCTAAATGTTTAGGTGCACAAAGCAATAACAGTATGATATTTATAATATAACACAGATCATGTGCTTTCTATTATGGTGAACATTCATATTTGAAATAGTTAATAATTTCAAAAAAGAATTAAAACATTCAACATTTTACGCTGGTATTAGATATTACTATTATTTTAGTTAGTACATTGAAATTAGACTTCGTAAAAAGCAAAAGTATTACCAATATTATGACTGAGTAATTCGAGTAACATGTTAAAATACATAACAAAATTTACGTATGATACAAGTTTGAAAAACAAAATTCTTTTGACATATTCTCGCAAATTNATATATAAAGCTAAAATGAAAAACATGCATTCATTGATAACTATATTTCATTGATTTATGCCCGTTGAAAATACTAATAATAATTTCTCATATGAGTCCTTTAAAGCTTCTAACGAATATATGGTGAGTAGCGACTTTAAAAAATATAAATGTGATATACTACAAGAAAATACTTATTTTGTGGGGGTTATTTTGATAATTTGTAGCGGTTTACGATTCCCACAAAATGAATTGTGGCGGTTTTTTAAAATGCCACAGTTATGAATGCCACGAGCAATATTGCGGCAGTTTTTTGAAACCTCCACAACAACCCTCACAAATTGAATTTTAAATTTGTGACGATTTTTAAAGACAATTAGAGTTGGTTTAAAACCCCCCACAATATGATCCCTCTGATTTAAAAAAAAAATTATTTGTGAGGCCTTATAACCCCCATAATATGATCTCATTGAATAAAAAAATAATTAATGGGTTGTAGCATTATTCCATTACAAATAACCATAAAAACAAACATAAAAAATTCAAATCCTTATCAAACTTTATTGATACTAACCAAGGTAACTCAAAATTTACACGCAAAACATCAACTCAGCTGATATACAAAGGGTACAATACAAATAGTAGAACACAATGGATGTTGCTACAACATTGTAGAACAAAACAAAAGCTACAAGTTGTTTCACAGGAATGTAGAAATGGAAAGAGAAAGTTTGTCATTCAACACCGATGGAAATCTCCTGTCTCCTTTGTGTCGCACCCCTTTTTTACCCCCAAAAAGATAATGTATGTTATTGATTGTGGGTTAAAGAATTTTTTTAATTAAAGTAACAAACTTGAGTAGGGATTATTTTATTGTTCAGAGTCGTCACTTGGAATTGATTTTTGGGTGTTCCAAGTTACCTTTTATTTAAATCCCTAGTCAAAGGAAAGTTTAACTCTATTATTATTGGTATGCGAAAATAAAGTTCAGGTAAGGAATTCTGTTTACCGGGGAGAAGGTGTAAGGCATTCCCCGAGTCCCGTGATTCTAGCACGGTCGCTTTTATTGACTTAAAACTTGGCTTGAATTAATTTTGGATAAACTGTGATTTATATAATTTTTTATGTTTTACTTATCCGCTTTTATCTCTTGATTATTAGAATTATGAAACAAAATAATTTGGATAATATTACGTTGTCATAACCACGCTACGCAAGCGAATGCTTGATCGAATAATAAAATTAATTAACTTATCATAATTGCGTCACGCTAGCGAATCTGAAATCATGACAATCAATTATTTGTAATACTTTTGAGAAATTACTACATTTGAGAAAATTAATTTTCTGAAAATTATTAAAAGTCAACTATGGCGCTACGCAAGCGAATCCTCGAATTTAGCAAAGGATTAACTAAAACTAATAGGTATGGTATGAGGTTATTGAACTAATTTATTGAATGTTAAACATCACGCTACGCAAGCGATTACGTGAAGTTGAAGCGCGCCTACTAATTGCCTAGCGTTTAAATTAATTACTAAAGCGATTAAGTTGTAAAGTTATTTTA